GACATAACAGGAACAGAGACAAGTAAGAATGTATTCAAATAAAGAAGGCAATACCAACTCAATCAATCATCATGTCTAATACACAATCCCGACCATCTCAATCCTTGATTTCTCATATCATAATTCCAACATCCGAACCTTCAACACACATGGCACCTTGTGCCCCCATATTTTCCATCTCACTTTTAACAACAAATCCACATGCTACACTATATATAATGTCCGTACAAATACACTCAAGATGTTCAAGAAGTCTCATTTACCTAGTATAAGTAAATTACAATTTCTAAACTAATTAGGAAAGTCAGCGAGAAAAGATGAGGTTGTTTCTTTTGAAATCATTTGAGTAAAGAAAGTACCCCTTTCAATTAAAATGCAACATCGACTGGATTATTACCTTTAACATGGGAGTTATTTACTTAAAACTTAGTAGAAATTCCTTTTTAAGTAAAATACGACCTCGGACGGTTTAAGGGGATATAATTGGGAAACTAATTGAATTAAAAGATGTAACAATTTTTGATGTTTGAAGTATTGGAATGTGTATATATATAAATACGGCAAAGTATTAAAAACACTGTAGGTTCCAACACAACGGATCACACCAATAAAGGAAATTAAACAGTTAAAACACTTGAATTGATAACAACAAATAAACACAGCAACAGAAAGTGCACGGCATCACCCTTCGTGCTTTTACTCTCGTTCTCACCATAAGAGTCAATATTCACTTTTATTCTTCCTTGTTGCAGCGTGCAACCCGATCCCAATCATATAGTACTGTTGCGGCGTGCAACTCGATCCAAATCATATAATACTGTTGCGGCGTGCAACCCGATCCAAATCATATAATATTGTTGCGGCGTGCAACTCGATCCAAATCATATAATATTGTTGCGGCGTGCAACCCGATCCAAATCATATAATATTGTTGCGGCGTGCAAACCGGTCCCATATAATAGTGTTGCAGCGTGCAACCCGATCCAAATCATATAATATTGTTGTGGCGTGCAACCCGATCCCATATATACAAGTCAACACCAATCACAAAGAATCCCGGCAAGGGAATAATAAGGAAACAACAATATCCCGGCAAGGGAGTCAACAACAAGAATGAAATATGTCCCGGGAAGGGAATCAGCTATAACAAAACTTGTACCAACAATTACTTCACAATGAAACCTCAACTAAACAACAAGACATAATAAGCAAGTGATAACTACACCGGTAACCACAACAATTGGACATGTAATCTATTTGCATGAAGTCATAGAGGAACTCACAATCAAGAAATATCAAAGTAGTAAGGAAGGCAATCACTTCAATTAAGGCAATTAAGGGTCAAAGCAACACGTAAGAATTAGAGGAAAGCTAACAACATCATGTGGAGCATATAAAGACAATTTAAGCAATTATTACACTCAATCATAACGGAATACTTTCCACATATTAAACGTAAGGACCTAAGAACCTTGAAGCATATTTCCCACAGATAAGTCCGAGCACACACTCGTCACCTCGCATGCACGGACTGCAATTAGCATAGAAGACTCAAATCCTAAGGGGAAGTCCCCCACACAAGGCTAGGCAAGATACTTACCTCGAAGACGACAAACCGATACTCTAAAATGCACTTCTCGGCTGAAAAGACCTCCGAACGGCTCATATCTAACCAAAAATGACTTGAATACATCCAATAATTTGGAGAAGTTTGGGTCTTTGAAAAATCGCCCATGGAGGTTTAGGGTTTTAGAAAATTGAAAAATGGGTGAAAATCTCGTCAAAAACCTCACTTAACAGGCCTCAAATGTCGCATTTGCGAACCTTCGCAAATTGCGAACAAAGCAGGGCTGACAGAAGTCGCATTTGTGACAAAAAGTTCGTATTTGCAAACTGGGCATCGCAAATGCGATAAAAAAGTTCGCATTTGCGAACACACCAGAAACCAGCAATTTTTCCGACACGAAAATGAGCATAACTTCCTCATATGATGTCCAAATTTGATGATTCTTTTTCCTATGGCTCCGTAATTTCGGTAGGGATCTAATGGTTCGAACAAAACTGAATTTGGATCTCATTTGCTCAATGTGGTATTATTTTTTCTTGAAGAAACGGCGATGAAGCATCCAAAAAAGATAAAAAGATAAAGGGAGATCACTGACCTTTTTGTGGGCAGTGAACGGGGCGTCGTCAAGAAGGTTTACGATTTCCGGTCTCTACTACGCAACTCCGAACGAGCGTCAAGCTTCGAAACAACTACGGTGACACCTCTTTTATGGTTAAGCAAAACCAATAGAGGCTAAAAGAGAGAGCTTTTAGAGTGTGGTTCTAAGAAGAATAACGGGTACAAGGGTCTAAAGCGGCAAGCTAAAGGTGCTGAAAATCTCCACCAAATCTAGTATTTATAGGTGTAAAATTAGGGTTCTTGGTTCCTTTGAGCGGGAATTTGAAATTCGGATTCCAAAATAAGTCAAATGCATCTGTTTGTATTTTAAATTGAAGCTTTTTGGATGGATTCGATCTTTACGTGATTCTTCAGCGATATGCTTCAGGCTATACCCGAAATGGTGAGATTTTGACTGAGACACTAAAGACTCATGGGCCATCGAGCACAAATATGGAAGTGGAAAGAAAAAATTACTTACATAAAAAAGTTTCAACATCTTTTGATTGAAAGGTGCAAAAGATCGGAGGTTTTCTCAAAATGGAGAAGGTGACAAGAGAAGCGACAGAGGCGCTGATGTCTTTTGACAAGGATTAGGAATTAGGGAATGAAATATTTTAAGGGTTATTGGGCCGATTGTGTTGAGGTTCAGGCTGGTTTGAAACATGGACTTGACCGAATTGGGCCTATTCTTGATGTGCTCATTTGTAGAGGCAAGATTTGGGCTTAATTTGCTGATTTCTTTCTTCATAAACTCTTTGAACTTCTAATTAGGAGTAATCATACTATATAATAGTATTAGTTACACAAAATTATACAAAGACTATAATTGTGAGCAATTAAAAAAGTGACTACAAAAAATAACTATTCGATTGATCATCAAATCAAATGCTATAGTATTATTAGAGTAAATATTTATAAAATATGGAATTAAAGAAATACTACTAGTTGGTCAAACAAAGAGAAGTGATACACTTTTCGCAAAAGACGATAATAATAATAATAATAATAATAATAATAATAATAATAATAATAATAATAATAATAATAATAATAATAATAATAATAATAATATCCGATGCAAATAATAATAATAATAATAATAATAATAATAATAATAATAATAATAATAATAATAATAATAATAATAATAATAATAATAACAATAATAATAATAATGATACTAAATATGCTATTTTGGGATAACAATGGTGAAACAATTATTCTTACATTATTAGTAATATTAGAAGCTTAAAGAAATAGTTTGGAAGAAAGGAGGGACAAAATTGGATGTCAACACATGTAACAATAATTTCAAATAATAATAAATCAACAAGGAAAGGAATAACATATAACAATAAGAGAGGCAAAAAGTTCAACTAAAGCATAAGAGCAAAATATCAAGTAGGATGTGAACTAGTATTAACAACGTCATTTAAGGCATGTGAAGATAGACTAACACAACTAAGAGTAGATTGACTATGAGAATTTAGAATATGTTATGACAAATAAATTAAAGCATGGAAAGAGTCTAAGTAGCCTAAACCAGTCAAATACCATGTACAACCCGTGTACCCACTCGTCACATTGCGTACACGGCTTTCACATAGCACAAATGAATCAATCAATATCAATCCTAAGGGGTAGTTCCACCACACAAAGTTAGGCAAGATACTTACCTCAACTAGGCGAATTCAACTATCGAAAATAGCTTTTCCCCCAAAATCCGCCTCCACACGTCTCAAATCTAACCAGAATTGACTTAATATCATCAAACAATGCAAGGGAAGTCAATTAAAATAGATAAAGCCATGATCTTTACACTTTTTCCAAAAGTCAACCCGAGGCCCACCCGGTCAAAACCCGGGTCCAATGGCAGATTTCGACTACCCATGACCCCACGAGTTCATATATGTGATTAGTTTCAAAATCCGAGTCCAAATCAGAGTCTCCAAATTCAAATTCTTATTTTTCAAAAACTTGATAAAGTTTCACAAATTTTCACTTTGATTCACATGATTTTGATGTTAAAATCTAAGATATATTGAAGGAATATGATTGGAAATAAATTAGAATCAGTTACCGAAAGTTATAGATGAAAATACCTTCTCCAAATTGCCTCCTACCGAGTCTAGGGTTCTAAAATAAGAGAATATAAGATGAAATCCCGACTTCCAGCCCTTATGTTCAGCTGATGATGTCGCAATTGTGACATGGGTTTGCAATTGCAACATGCGTTCGCATATGCAACCCTTGCAATTGCGAAGAATACATCACAAATGTGGCCACTGACCTTCCTACTGGGACCTCCCAATTGTGATCAATGGGTTCGCAAAAGCGAACCCTGCCCCTTCGCAAAAGCGACAATTTAGTCGCAAATGCAATCTACCTAAAGTCCAATATCAATTCGCAATTACAAGCGTTGTACCGCAATTGCGATACCCGAGGCACCCATGCTAAGCTCGCAATTGCAAACTTGGTATTCAGAAATGCGATGCCTGAAGCATCAACACACCAGATTCTGCAATTTTAGTCTAATATACTTCAGAAGATGTCCGAAACTTATCCGAGCCCTCGGGACTCCAAACCAAACATCCACACAAGTCTAAAAATATCATACGAACTCGCTCGCACGATAAAAAAAATAAAAATAACATCTAAAACTATGAATCAAACACTAAAACGCATGAATTTCATAAATTTTAAGAACTTCTAGAATTACAACTAAACGTGTGAATCATATCAATTCAACTCCAAATGATACCAAATTTTGCAGACATGTTCTAAATAGCATAATGGACCTATTCCAAGACCCAACATGAAATTCCGAACTCTATAGCTAAAATTCAACCTACGATCAAACTTTTCAAATTCAAATTGCCTAATTTCGGCAAAACAATACGAATCAACCTTCGGACTTCTGATATCAATTTCGGGCATATGCCCAAGTCCGAAATCATGATACAAAGATATCGCAGCCATGAAAATACCGTTCTGGGGTTGTTTTCACAAAAGTCAAAGTTTGGTAAACATTTCTACTTTTAGCTTCTAAGTCAACCAAAGGGTTTAAATCAACCCGAAAGCTTCCTAGAACGAAACTAACCGACCCCCCAAGTCATAAAATCATAAAAATACATGTGTGAAGCATAAAAAGGGGAAACTAGGAGCAATTACACAAAGCAACTGGTCGGGTCGTTACAAGATGATAAATCAATCTTTCTCTTCTTGTACTCACCACTTGGTCCCTTTCTGATTAAGGGATTAATTGGTTTGTTTGTGCCTTTCTCAGAATCATGTGGGTCTTTTAGAACCCCAACATCATAGAACAACTGAGTAATCAATGATGTAAAGAATAGACTCTTAGAACTCCTGTTACATGCTTCATCAGTCTCAGTCACCACATGTAGGCCCACGTTCACATGTAAGTTATCTATAATAGTAGTAATCATCAATGCCGTGTCAGAAGTCACCTCGGACTCATGTATAGATGGCATAATTCTAGCACCAATTATGGACAACCAAGTTTTGGCTTCAGCTATGAATTCAGAAAACTCAACCCCTTTGTGCAATCTTTCCCAAATCAGGGTTACCCCATCATGAATCATTTCTACCAACCACTGGCTTTCCCTCTCCTTTGCTCTAGCTTTGTATACCTTGTTGTCAACATTAGGAAGTCCAAAATGTGCATTTAGTACCTCCAGACCAATGTTTACGCGCTTAACCCTAACAATGGTAAATAGTTTCCCTTAGAAGTCAGCTCTTAGGACATTTGCGTAAAATTACCCAACTATTATGTAGTTAACTTTGATTGATTCATGAGTGAAGCAAATTCATCCACTGCTAGTCAATATTCTAAAAAAATCTGGCATCATAGCTTCAAGTTTGTCGACATGGATACCCCTTTCCTTGACGATGCTCTGTGACATGGTTCTGTCATATTTTCTTTCACATTCAGTAATTATGAATCTGTCCCGATCAAAATACTCCTCTTCCAAAGCATGGGGTATAGGTGATTGCAAGTTTCATCATTTCTCAATGCCATTTATGCTCAAGTACCTACAAAAGTATACTCTATGTTAAAATCTTGTATGGACAATTACAGCACTGTATTATGGTGTGTTTGGGCCAACGAAAGGGATCAAAAAGCTTACAAATCAAAATCTGGAAGGCTACTATTTTGGCAGCATGGAGGGTAGAGAATCGTGAATGAGAAATAGGCACCACGTTGGCGAAGACATTTTTGTTTTCAGCAGATATAGAGTATTGTGATTGTCAAAAGGACGTCATGATCGTGAAGGGAAATTTTCATATAAAAAAAATTAGACATACGTGATCGCGGAATGGGGCATCGCGATTGCGAAGGTCTTCTTCCTCACCCAAAAACAATTCTTTCTGACATTTCATCAAGCACACGGTGGGCATCGACTTTATAGAAATTCCCCAGCATTAAAGCTCGGATCTAAACCCCAAAATTTTTACAGAATACAACCTAATCAACCTCTCAGCCAACCTCACCCAACAAACAAGCACACAGACAAATTGAATCAATATTCAAGCCACATCCTAAGCCATAGCTTTCAGCCAATTTTCAGATTAGTAACAAATTTCACAAAAATACTCAATCCTTTGAGTTTCAGGAGATTTTAGATGATGATACTTTCATAACATACTGAAGCCTGATAGAACAATGGATAAAAGATATACCTGTAAAATCACCTTGAATTGAAAAGAAATAAAATAGAGGTGAGAACAGAGGCGACTAGAGAGGGCTTGCCTCAAATTAAGCCCTCAAATTCCTTCAATGCAAAGGGGAAGAATCTGCTTTGTGGGTAAGGGTGATGGGATTTTCGAAGGGTGAGGGAGAAAGAGAATGACTTATGAGGAGAAGAGGGTTCAATAACTGATTTCCAGTGTCTTATTGGACGGGCACTTACCCGGGAGAACTGCGATCATGTCAGGTTCAGGCATTCGTGAAGAACGAAAAATTCCCACTGAGCCGCGACCGTGTTTCTCTCTTGGCGATCGCGAATATTAATGGGAATAACTTGTTCTTTGCATCGCTTGACCTTGTTCGTGAGCCTGATGTTTTGCATTTTTCTGCTATTTTTAGCTACTGCTGGTTTGGGGTTGTCCGGACCACCCGACCTGCACAAATCAACTCCAAAAAATGTAAAACCTTTACAAATTAATAAAAAATAATATACTAACCTATTTTAAAAAATAAAAATTCGAAAAAGACTTAAAATTTAAAAAACAATGAGTTGGCTCCTACCAAGTACCGCATTTAATGTCTTGGCACGACGCATGTCAACTTTACCACTTCTCTCTCTACATAGAGAATATGAATTTGGCACCTAACTTGAATTCAAGCTTGTGAAAACGAGCGGTTGTCACGACCCAAGTTCTCCCTCCGTGAACTGTCGTGACGGCACCTAGTCTCTACGACTAGGTAAGCCTACTAATGCGGAAATGAAATGAAAACACAAGGATAACAGCTAACAATATAGTTAATAAGCAGAACAATGCTGCTCGACATATACAATACTCACTTTTCCCAAAACCCGGAATGTCGCATTGTCACAAGCTACTAAGAAGTTTTACTGTTCTATACATCACCTCTACGGAAAGAAAGAGGAATGAACATAAGGGGATAGAGGCAGACTCCGAGGATCTGCGGGCGCGGACAGATGTACCTTGAAGTCTCCAACAAACAGCACCGACTGCAACTAGTGATGAGGCTGGTACGATGAACCTAGATCTGCTCACGAAAAACATGTTCAGGAAAGGGCATGAGTACACCCTAACGGTACCCAGTAAGTGGCAAGCCTAACCTCGGTCGAGTAGTGACGAGATCAGGTCAGGGCCCTACTGGTATAAATATAATGAAATAAGACCGAAAGAAGTATTACAGTAAACTAATTACGGAAATCTAACAGGAATAAAATTCAATGAAATCCAACAGCTCAGAACACAGTAATAGCAACATGGGATCTCCCGGGATACCGTCCCGTAGTCCCAAACGTAAACGTAAATGCATAGGGGAATCTCCTGGAATACTATTCTGTAGTCCCAAAATAAATATACAGTGCTGGGGGTTCTCCCAGAATACCGTTCCGTATTCCTAAAGTAAATAAGCAGTACAGGGGGATCTCCCGGAATACCGTTCTGTAGTCCCAAAGTAAACATACAGTGCTGGGGGATCCCCGGAATACCGTTCCGTAGTCCAAAAGTAAATAGACAGTGCGAACAATAGAATTATAACTATAACACGAAATACTACGATTTAGACTAAGTCCAAGTCAACAAAGAAGCAGGAAATTCACTAAGCATGCTGCACAGGATTCAGGTAAGCAATTAAGACACGTAGTCATGTTGTTCTAAACTAAACAGGAAAATTACATATACTAGTGTAGCTCAGTTAAAGGAAAGCAGATATTTTACTTAATGAGCACGGTGTTTTTTAACAAATAGCCCATTGTACGCACTCGTCACCTCATGTACACGGTGCTCATATCTCAAACAGTACCTAATCTTAAGGGGAGTTCCTCCACACAAGGTTAGGCAAGTCACTTACCTCGAACCAAGCTCAAATCAATCTGAAACAATGCTCTTTCCATGAATATCCGACTCTGAATGGCCAAAATCTAGCCAAAATCAATTACATATCATAAATATAACTATAAGAAACTAATCTAGCTAATGAAATCAAAGCTAAAGCAAGAAATTGGAAAATTGTCCTAAAAAGTCTCCCCGGGCACACGTCTTGGAATCGAGTAAAAGTCACAAAATATGAACAGCCATTCACTCACGAGTTCACTCGTACAAAAATCGTCCAAATCCGATGTCAAAATCCTAGACTAGTGCAATATAACCATAAAGGAGTTAAGAATCGTTACCCAAAAGCTTTCTCTGAAAATCCCTCAAATAATTGCCCAATTCGAGCTCTTAAAGTCCCAAAATTGAAAATGGGCTAAAACCCTCGACTTGGCTCTTTTTCTGCCAGTGATCTTGCTTTCGCGATCAAAAGGTCGCACCTGCGTGTGCGCACCTGCGGACCCATGTCCGCTCCTGCGATCTCTCCAGTGCATCTGCGGGCATCACATATGCGGAATTCATCTCGCACCTGCGACCCCTGACCACTCCTTCCAAATCCTCTTCTGCGCTTAATCTTCCGCACGTGCGGTCCCGCACCTGCGGCCTCCCCACTACAGGTGTGAAAACACCAGAAGTCTGAAGACTTAAGCAATAACATAAATTCCAAATCTTGATCCGCTAAGCACCCAAAACTCACCCGAGGCCCCCGGGACACTTAACCAAACATACCAACAAGTCCTAAAACACCATAAGAACATAGTCAAGGTCTCAAACCACATCAAACAACGCTAAAATCACGAATCACCCTCCAATTCAAACTTAAAGAACTTGAAACTTCAAATTTGTACAACCGATGCCGAAATCTATCAAACCACGTCTGATTGACCCCAAATTTTGCACAAGGGTCATGTTTAACATTATGGACCTACTCCAACTTCCAAAATTGGATTCTGAACCCGACATCAAAAAGTCCACTACCGGTCAAAATCTCCAAAAATTCAACTTTCGCCATTTAAAGCCTAAATAAGCTACAGACCTCCAAAACACAATCCGGACACGCCCCTAAGTCCAAAATTACCCAACGAAGCTAACGAAATTGATGGAACTCCATTCCGCAGTTGTCTTTATACAGTTCTAACTACATTCCAAATCCAAAGACTTAAGCCTCCATTTTGGGACTACGTGTCCCAAAACACTCTGCAAACCAAAAGCAAAACCTCCCGGCAAGCCACATAAGCATAAAAAGATACGGGGGAAACAGTTAATAGGGGATCGGGGCTAAAACTCTCAAAATAACCGACCGGGTCGTTACAGCGGTGGGGGTGGTAAGTAGATGAAAAAGGCGAAGGCTGTTTGCTTCATTTTGCATTTCGTGGCTTTCATAGAGGATTGTCATTATGCCTTCTCGCGCTTCAAATTGTTAAATGTACGGTCGTTGCCTTTCCTCTTTGCAATCCCTCATTGATCCATGTATTTCAATTCCCATATCCCCACACAACACCAGTATTGAAAAATTCTTGGAATGAGACATCAAGCCTCAAAATTGCAATTTTATTCCAAATCTTGACATCTTCTTTCTTCCCCGAACTATAGTCAATTTCAAGCATATTTTCATTTATGCCAGTTGACTGTAATTCCAAATTTTTCTCGGCATCACTAACAAGCATGGAGTCGGTTAGCGGATGTTCGATTCTTGATTACTAAAAATGAAGCTCACTTTCTTCCTCGAAGTTGGACTTTTCTTGACCACATTCCACACTCACAAGTTGATGAGCATTATGAGCCTCATCCAATGGTTTCGTTTGATATTCCAGGTGTGAATAGTTTCACAATTCCGATATAACGCTTGTTTCAAGTCCTCGACTGCCAAGGTGTGCTTCTCCTGGTTTTCAAGAATGGCCTCCAACATGAGCATTATCCTCTCATTTTGAGCATTTGAGAGTTCTTCATATTTTTGATCAAGTGCCAAATAAGGATTTCCGGTTTCAAACTCCAAGGGAGGTTCCTGGCTATCATTTTCTTTCGAGGCCTGTTGGACCCGTAAAGCTTCAAGCATTTCTCCCATTTGTGAGTTCAACCTTTCAAGTGCCAAATCATTTTGAGACTAATTTTCAAAAGCTCCTCCAAGGATTTTTGCTCTTTGTTTCCTCCTTCAAGTAGGCATTCCATCATGAGCTTGAACTCTCCATTTGGACCATGCTCAATTTCTTCCACTTCCATATCCCTATAATTGTCATCACAAAAAGTAGAATCGTTATTGTAGGGGTTCGGAGAAGGGAAGGACAAATAAGCACAATTTGCCCAATGGCCATTTTGACCACCACACCTATTACATATACTCCCCTCATAGGTTTGAGATTGTGCACACAATCTACCCCTAGGATAATTTATATAATTTTGCCATGAGTGTGGTCCTTCAAAATATGGACAAGGATCATCAAAGTATGAACAACTACCATCCGATCAATTTTCATTGTATGATGCCATTTTCAAAAACTAAGAAAATAAACTAAGATAAGAAAAATCACTACAGAAATATTCACAATTTTGGACCAAAGCATGTATGCTTACCTCCCAAACAAGCTAAATTGGCCAAATTATTCCCCGTCAATGGCGCAAATTTTGATGAAGTCCAAATCCACTCCTTAAAGAGTAAGTCGACACGATTGCATGCAATATAATATACCCAACTATGAGTTGGGTTCGAATCCGACTGGGAACAATATGTAGGTGAGTCAGCAAGTAAAAGAATTATCGCTTATTATGCTAAGCTAAGCACAAATAAAGGGTTTTGAGAAAATATTATAACTAATGAGGAAATGTAAACGAATAGAGAAAGCCAGTAACATGATCAATGGCTACAAGCATGGATTCAATGGGAATTACACTCAAGTACGATCCAATGTATTTTACCATTTTACAATTATGAGTAAGTTTATGTTAATTAGCCTCGGATAATAACTCTATATTAGATTCTTCTAAAGACTAACATGACTCCCTAATGGAATTATCCCTAAAACAACTAAGAGAATAAAGTACACCCGAATGAGGCTACAAGTAGTAGAATCTATAAAATGAGGGTTAACGCCTCAAGTTCTTGTTAATTAATCTTTTTCAACCGTGAGTCCTAGAGTTAGCTAAACCCTTAAGAAGCATGTCTATGGAGTAGTTCACTTTAGGGTTTTATGGATTTGGTGTATTGATGACTGTTTGTAAATTATAACTCTAGTTTTATGTATTGATGCATTTTGGAAGATTTTATTGTTGCATCAATATTCACTAGTTCATGTAATCGAGAGAGGCATAACGTGTGATATCTTCGCATTATGTTGTTGTTTGAATTCGTAGATTCGTCTAAGTAATCACAAGAGGCTAGTTGAATCATTGATTAAACATAGTTAGGACAATAATAGAAAGAGGTTTTTCTAAGGACCAATCCACTACGCTTTCTTGCATATCTTCACAATGCTTATTTTTGTTCATCTTGTGAGGTTGAGACTTAATCGAGAGAGGAATTTCCGCTGAACGTATGAA